TGCTTCAGCCCAAAAATTCTTGGGCAAGTTCTTCTCAAATAGCAAACACCTGGCCATATTCAAAATAGATCTGTTTTTCCTTTCACTCACACCATTTTGTTGAGGTGTGTAAGGAATTGTGAGCTGATGATGAATTCCATGTTGCTGCAAAAACTGTTGGAATCTATGAGAAGTATACTGAGCTGCATTATCAGATCTAAGTGTTTTGATATTCAAACCACACTCATTTTCAACCGAGGCTTTGAACTTGATGAAAATATCAAATACCTCAGATTTATGTTTTAGAAAATACACCCAACAAAATCTGCTGAAGTCATCAATAAAAATCAGGAAATATCTATTTCCACTTAAAGAAGCAGTCTTCATAGGACCACAAATGTCAGTGTGAACTAGCTGCAACTTCATAGAAGCTTTATAAGCTTGACCAGATGGAAAAGGCAATTGCGATTGCTTACCAAGCTGACACACTTTACAAACATGTTCATCAACATGAACAAGAGGCATACCAGAAACCATGCTCTTTTTTTGCATCAATAGCAAAGATTGATAACTAGAGTGACCAAACCTCTTATGCCAGACACAAGAATTATCAACAGTACTCACGCAAGCCTTTATCTGAGTTTCTTTCCATTCAATAGGAAAACTCCTATCAAGCATTTTAATAGATAACAACAAATTTCCAAATTCATCAAATACATCACATAGCTTGTCATGAAAGTGCAAAGAGTATTTGCTTTCAACAAGCTGAGCAACACTAATAAGGCTGTAGCTAATCTCAGGAACAAATAGAACATCATAAATAAGCTTGATACCTGTTGGTGTATCAACAGTTGCTACTCCCCTTCCTTTGACCTCTACTAGCTCTCCATTACCCAATCTGACTTTAGAGGTAAAACTCTTGTCAAGGCTTTTGAAGCAGCTCTCATTTGGAGTCATATGGTGAGTACATCCACTGTCTATCAACCAAACATTACAACTGAGATTCATAGCACAACAAGCTTCCACTTTAGTGGCCACAAATAACTTCTCCTCCTATTGATCAAGTTTCTTTGCAATCTGAGCTTGTGATGTAGAGTCTGCTTTTGATTTGCAGACCTTTTTAACATGACCGAATTGCTTACAAGACCTGCACTCAACACCAGGCCTGAACCAGCAAAAATTTTCTGTGTGAGTTGTCTTTTTGCAGTGAATACAAGGAGGAAATGACTCCTTTTTACCCTTGTATCTACTGCCCTTGAAATCTCTTTGAAACTCCTTCTTTTCTTTCCATTTCTTGTCAAAAAATTGCTTCTTTACTCCTTCCTTTTGTTCGCTTTTACCCTTTTCGGTAGCCAAGAGAGCACCTTCCACATTGCTTTGGGACCTTAAGGCTTTTCTCTGTTCAACAGCTTGTAAAGAGTTGATAAGTTCAGTTAAGGGAATTTTGGAAAGATCCTTGGAGTCTTCCAAAGAGGAGATCTTGTGCTCAAATTTTTCTGGCAAACTGACCAACACCTTCTCAACAACCCTCTTATCAGAGAGTTCTTCATCACCCAGCAATCTGATTCGATTCACAATCTTCATTATTCTATCTGAAAACTCTTTGACAGTTTCAGACTCATTCATCCTCAAAACAGCAAATTCCCTTTTCAGATTCAAAACTTGCATCTGAATTCCCTTGCTGCCACCCTGAAACTCTACCTTCAACAAGTCCCAAGCTTCTTTGGCTGTTTCACAGCGCATAATTCTGTCGAAAATCTCATCAGTTACTGCAGAATGAATACAAGTCAAGGCTTTATACCTTTTCGTAACTTCTTCAGTATGCTGCTTTATCTGAGCCAAGGTGGGATTCTGCCTTAAAGGTGGTGGTTGCTGGTCGGTTTCCACCACTTCCCAAAGGTTGAAGGCCCTTAGATAAGCCTTCATTTTGACTGACCAAACTGGGTAGTTATGACCATTGAAAACGGGTGTTTTTGCTGTGAAACTAGAACCAGATTCCATTTTTGGGGTTCAAGGTGTTTGGGTTCTATTTGGGTGTCACTCACTCTCAATTTTCACTCCCTCACAGCCTCTCAAGGATCAGAGGAGGCTCTGATACCATGTAATGTTTTTGCTCAAAGGAAAAAATGGCGAGAAAAAAAAACAAAGAGAAAAATGAGCAAAACACAAAAATGATCATTGATTTCTCCTCTTATGCAAAATAAACACTAGCTTTCGAGAAAGGGGAAGAGTAGTTTACCAAACTACAAGTAGCTTAATTTTAGCCCCCTACTCAAGTGTCTATACTGACAGAAGGTTAACAAAAAGCTACTTAACCAAAGGTCAAATTACATCAAAAAATCAAACACTGAATTGTTGCAGCATGTGATGGCACAGTACTTCGAAAACTACAAAAATCTGAACTTCATTCAACATAAATATTAGGTGAGAGAAGGACTGTTTTGTGTTGTGTTGTGTTGTTTCTGCTGTAAATAGCAGAATATCAATGAAATTTAGTGTGTTCTGCTCATTGTTCTCTCTGTTTTTTATCTCCATTTTTTCTTCGAGCAAAAACGTTGCAGTGGGTTTCCTTAACATGCTCTAAAAAGAGACCATTAGTTTGGATAAGTACCAAACAAACTTTCATGTGCGATTAGATGGAAACGCACACGTGGCTGCATAAGTTTGTTGCTATTTTTTACTTTCTTCTTGTCTAATGTACCATTGATGACACTTTAATTAACTATGCTTTGCAACACAGAACTTTGATAATGGCCTTCAGGCTGTAGAAGGATCCAAAGACAGTGAAAGCTGCATATATGTGGCCCGCATTGTTGTTGAGCCCACAAAAAATGATTTAATGGGTACAGGCAGCATGTACCGTCGATGTCAGTACGAGCATTGGTTGGCTTCACCATCGTCATGTCATCATTTTCATGTTAAAAAAAAAATTGATTGAACACTACAAATCTCTTACCTGAATGGCCCAAGACAACCTCAATGTTCTTATAATTTCCTTGCTTTAGATGGTTGACATTTCCGATTTTTAGATTAATGGTTATAAGGCTTTCTTTTGTCTATATACTAGCAATCAACTAGGGACATTTTCACCCCCGTGTCATCCAAAAAAAAAAACTGGAAAACCCTAAAAAACTCTACCTAATCTAAATGGCGTTTGTTCAGGGCAAAAATTCTGTAACTGATACAATCTTCACTTTGCTGAGATGCAAAATTTATTAAAATTTTATTGCAAATAATGATGATGATCATAAAATGCAATGCAGATTACAGATACTTGAAATGGAAACCAACCAAGGACGTTCGGTTCATCTTGCCATGAAAAATGCATCTATCTTCCATTTTTTTCCCCTTTGATCCAGGGAGACTGGAGCATTTGTAGGAACGTGAGGAACTCAGTTGGACATTTAGCTAAAGAAAGACAAAACGAATAATGAAACAATTAGAAATGACAAAGCAGTAGGCCGTTGACACAAGTGTCTTCGGTCCTGTGTTTGTTTGTGAGGCTCAGAAAATACAATCCATTAAGTGACCTCCATTTCTTAGAAGGTCAAAAGGTATATAGTTGCTGGTTAGTGACCTCCGTTTTCGCACATAAGTTCTTGAATTGTCTTTAGCCTAATAAGCCCTTAAACCCCGCAATTTGGGCATTAAGATACTTTGATAACGGTTGCCATAAGACTCATGATACTACTAGAAGGGTTGTGGTAACATAGTGAGTATATAACTAATCCTTGTATGCTTATTTTAGCACTATGTACTTTTGGTAAAATGTTGTTTATATTTCTTAAAAATGTTGGAATACAATGGATATATGTCTCCAAAATATATTAAACATGAACACTTTTCTGTTAAGATTGATGTTTTCAGTTTCAATATAATGATTTTGGATATTTTGAATGGTTAAAAAAGTAGCTCTCCTTGCCATATTGAGGATGGTGAAACTGTTATAAGCTTGGTAAGTATACAAAATTAATATACATGAAATTTACCATGAATACCGTACGGTATTGCTATAAATACCATGAATTTATGATCATTTGCATTTCTTATAATAACTTGAATTGCTGAATTTTCATATGGCTACCAACTAAGGCATTTGTATTTGAATGAAAGATGGCTAATAAATCATAATCCAGCATTGAATTATAAATGAATTAAATGCGGAAAATGTTTCAAGAAGGAAAACATCCCTTATTCACAAAAGTTTCCAGTACAATTACTCTGTTTTGGATAGACTAATTTAACCAGGGGAAAGGAATCTTGATGACTCAGATTGAAGAAGAGGATGCATCCAACGGATTTGAGAGTTTTTTTTTTTAAAAAAAAAAACGTATGATTTTTGAGTACCTTTTATATCCATATTAATAAAATTTCTTTTCTTAGTAAAAATAAAAAAAAAAATTAACCCCAACTTTGACCTTCAACCTCACATACCTGAATAACATCCAACCGCTATGGCACCAATACAAAGATACCACCACAGTTCAATTGCAACTCCATGTGACGAAGATTGATCTTCAAGCAATCGTTTTGAAATTGAAATTAACAGCTGTTTGGAAAACAGACTTGGGAACACAATTCGATATCCTTGTATGGCCCCTTGGTCTTTTGAAAATTTTTTAAGTTAATCCACACATTTTTTATTTATAAATTTTATCCTCAAATTTTATTTTATTCACCTAATTATTCTTAATAGTTGAAAAAATAATTATCATTACACATTAACGTAAATTTTATCAGTAAATTCAAAATAAAACGTTAACATAACAATTAATAACTCTTTAAGGTTAATTTATTAAATATTAAAATGACCTTTCAATCTCTAATATTTTGTGCCAAAAAATTAGTAAAAATTTATAAAATTTTTAACATTTCTCTGCACTCTTTTTTTTTTAAAAAAAACTTAGATCATCACATTTGTAGTGATTAAAATTAATCTAAAATATTCATTTTAATTACTAATATCTATCTTTTTGGGTCAAATATTAAAAAATTTACTTCTAACCTATTTTTTTATTAATTCAAATCATTTATTTTATTTTATCATTTGCTATTTAAATTTTTTATATATTTCTAAATTATTGTATATTTTTTATAGATTTTATTATATATTCTTTTCACAAATACAACTATTTACTAATCATTAAAAATTTTAAAAGACAGTATATTTCACATTTCATATGACCAAATTTAATTTTAAACATAAGTTTAGAACTATTCAGTGTGATCATTTTACTCTGATTCACCTCCATTGTTCACATGAATATTAGTAGCGCCTAACTCTAATACCAGTTGTTGGGAAAAATGACACAACGAAATAAATTAATTCCTGTGAACAAACACGTGAACAATAACAAATAAATGGTGAAACAGGCGATTTAGCCAATCAATATTAATGGTTAGTGTAAAAGGCGGCCTAACCAACCAAGCAAAATAAATTAGATCGTTTAACCAGCTGAAGAAAAAAAAATGGGCGATTGAACTAGCCATTTAAGAAGAAAAATAAATAATAAGATGACACCAAATTTTATGTGAAAAAACTCCCAAAAACTATTGAAGAAAAAAACCACGGGACAAACTCCGAAAGATATTCCACTATGTGATAAAACTATACAGAGTATACACTCAAGTATGTTCTCTCTTTTGGTGTTTCCCACTCCTTCAGGATACGATTACAATCTTAATAAACTCACAATTTTATCACTCAATGTACTCTTTCTATGGAGTACACTCACACCTAAGATTAATGTCCAGCTCTCACCCCTTTTTTCATTTTTTCACCCGAGCTCTTACTTTGCTCACTTTGGTGCTGCACTCTTGCTACTTGCTTGCTTCCTTGCCATTGCATGGGTATTTATAGGGTAAAAACCCAACAACCCGGTGCAACATTTCTTCACCTCATTAAATGAGGTTTCTGCAATGGTTGAAAAAACCATTGCAAATTTTCAGCAACTGCTGCTTATAGGTGCAGCCTTTGGCCATAGGACGGTAGAAAAATGGGGTGGACTTTCATGGGCTGGAAGCTTCCGTCAACACTATATTTTCCAACTATGGTTTTAAAAATCATCAGCTGAGCATCCAAGCACTTGCTGCAGTTAGCTCTGATAATATCCCTGGCGCACTGGACCATACGATAACTGTTCCCGCTATCTCCAGCACTCCAGCCTGAAATATCAGCGTCTAATTTGCTGCAGCAGCTGCAAGCCTGTTCGTGAAGTTGAACCCTTGGGATGCAACAGATGGGTCATCAGAGTTGGTACTATTGTATATTGCTACTAAGGATTTATACCACACACTAAAGAAAGGCTGGTCAGAATACCGAAGATAGCACGATGTGAACCAAACCTTAACCGTTTTGCTCTCGGGAAAATCCTGCAAGGCAACAGCTATGGATTTGCTTGTGCAGCTAGCACAGTTTGCTGTAGAAACATCCCCTCTACACTGCACAAGACCATAAATCTTGTCTGACTTCTCCCCAGCTGTGGTTTTGTAGAATCCACTGTTAGGCCCACTTGCAGCCAGCTGATTCAGAAGGTTGTCAAGATTGGCCTAGAAGGAGTTTTCAGATGTTGAGTTATCAGCTTCTGAACATCCCCAACCGGCACTCACGTTGTTGTCAGCAAGACAAATGTTCTGTAACAACGTCAAAATTATGAATAGAACAAGACTCAATACATTCAGACCAATCATCTTCATATTCTATATCAACTCTAGTTTGAGGAGGAAGAGAGGAGAATGAATCTGTATCAAATTGAAAAGAATAAGCCATCCCAAGTGTTTTGAACTTACAAGGTCAACTCTCAGAATCTGATGTCTGACATGTTGTAAGAAGCAATAACAAATATAAGTAGTTAGAAAAATGCAACTAGCTAACTAGTTCATGCACTTACTTAGGTATTTGGGTTTCCTTAACACGCTTTAAGAGACCATTAGTTTGGATAAGTACAAAACAAACTGTCATGTGTGATTAGATGAAAAAGCACATGTGCCTGCATGAGTTTGTTGCTCCCCCTTTTTTTTTTTTCTTTCTTGTTTAATGTACCATTTATGAAACTTTAATTAACTCTGCCGTGTAACACAGAACATTGATGATGGGCTTCAGGCTGTAGAAGGATCCGAAGACAGCGAAGGCTGCATTTATATGGCCTGCAATGTTGTTGGGCCCACAAAAAATGACTTAATGGGTACAGGCAGCATATACAGTGGATGTCAGTTCGAGGATTGGTTGGCTTCACCATCAT